GAGTTTCTTGATCAGATGGTGATCGTCTACCTCAATGACATCCTCATCTACTCAAAAACTCAGGAGGAGCACGACGAACATGTACACAAGGTGCTGGCGAAGCTGCGAGAACACGGCCTATACGCGAAGCTTGAGAAATGTTCCTTCGATCAGCAGTCCTTGGGTACATTGTTACTCTTGAGGGTATCACGATGGATCCTGCCAAAGTCAAGACTATTCTCGAATGGGAGTCTCCACAATCAATGTTGGACATTCAGGTTTTCCTTGGCTTCGCCAACTTCTACCGCAAATTCATTGATCACTACTCTGACATTGTCCTTCCTCTCACGCATCTCACTCGCAAGGATGTTCCCTTCTCTTGGTCTGCTGCTACCTAGCAAGCCTTCGACACACTCAAGGTGGCCTTCAGTTCTGCTCCCGTTTTGATCCATGCTGATTCCTCACAACCTTTCTTCATCGAGGCTGACACCTCCGACTTTGCCATCGGTGTTGTGCTGTCTCAACTCGGAGCGGATCAAGAACTTCATCTGGTCGCTTTCCATTCTCGGAAATTCCAGCCTGTGGAGATCAATTACAAAATCCACGACAAGGAGCTCCTTGCCATCGTGGATTCCTTTGGAGAGTGGCGCCATTTCTTGGAAGGGGCGGGCCATCAAACAACAGTCTGGATGGATCACAAAAATCTTGAGTACTTTGCCACTTCCCGAGTTTTAAGCCGTTGTCAAGCAAGGTGGGCACAATTCCTGAGTCGGTTTGACTTTGTTATCAAGTACAGACCTAGAAAGCTTCAAGGCCTTCCTGATGCTCTTTCAAGGCGCTCTTATCTCAATCTCAGGCCTAGTAATCCTGCCTTCGATCAATAGGATCAAGTTATTCTTGGTCTTGATTAGCTTCAAGTTATGGCAATTTCCCTGGCCCCTCAGGACTCCTCCTTGATGGATGCGATCAGAAACGATCTTCAATCCGATGATCTTGCCAGCGACATTTTCCCCCATCTTCAAGCTGGACACCCAGTGACTCCCGACTGCTGGCGATTTGATGAGTTCGAGTTCTTAGATGGCTTATTGTACCATGGGGAGTAGCTTTACGTTCCTGAAGGTGATGCTCGAAGATTGGTCCTAATGGCATGCCACGATAGCCCGACTGCTGGTCACTTCGGCATTGCGAAAACCTATGAGCTAGTTGCACGGGACTTTTGGTGGCCTCACATGAACGACTACATCAAAGCTTTTGTTACCTCCTGTGACACTTGCACCCAGAATAAGGTACCTCGCCACCTTCCTTTAGGTTTGCTTCGTTCCCTCCCGGTCCCTTCAGGTCCTTGGGAATCCATCTCCATGGATTTCTTGAGTGATCTTCCGAGTTCTGGAGGCTTCAACAGCATTTTAGTCGTGGTAGATCGCTTCACAAAGATGGCGCACTTTTTGCCATGTACCAAGGAGTTTTCGGGCGAGGACATGGCAAAACTGGTATTCAGGGAAATTTTCCGACTTCATGGGATTCCTACAGATGTGGTTTCGAATTGGGGGCCTCAGTTCATCTCTCATTTCTGGCAACAGTTTTTGCAGTTGCTTGGAGTGAAGGCCAACCTCTCTTCGGCGTATCATCCTCAAACTGATGGACAGTCCGAATGAATGATTCAGACATTGAAACAATTCTTGAGGTGCTTCATGAACTATCATCAGGATAACTGGTTTGATATCCTTCCCTTTGCTGAGTTCTCCTATAACAACTCTGTTCACTCCTCTCTTCGAATTTCCCCTTTCTTTGTGAACTCTGGCCGAAATCCCCAATTCAATCTCTCACTTCCCTCTCCATCTGAATCCTCTCGTTCAAATCCCCACTCTGAGGCATTTGTCTCCAACCTCCAGGAAATCCACAATTCCATCTCCTTCCACCTCCATCGTGCTCAGGAATCTCACAAAACATTTGCCAATGTCCATCGTCAGGATTGTCCCCCTTACAATATCGGGGATAAAGTCTGGCTCCTTAGGTGAAATATCTCCACCACCAGGCCTTGTCCAAAACTTGATTTCAAGCACCTCAGTCCTTTCTCTATCACTACCATCATTAATCCTGTCACTTATCACCTTGCACTTCCCTCCTCATATCAAATTCACCCTGTTTTTCACTCCTCTCTCCTTGAGCCTTATATTCCCAGTCCTATTCCAAATCGGGTCATTCCTCTGCCTCCACCAGTGCAACTCGAGGATGGGTCTGAGTACGAGGTTCAGGACATCCTTGATTCCAAGATTTCACAGTCTAAACTCTACTATCTGGTCGACTGGAAGGGTTATGGACCTGAGGAACACACTTGGGAACCTGCGGACAACCTGATTCATTCTCCTGACCTTGTTCAGGACTTCCACCGCCGCTATCCTTCTCGTCCCAGTCCTCATTCTTTTTCTCCATCTCCCATCCCTCGCCACTCATCTCATCCTCCTCGTCGTTCTCGTTCACATCCTCGTTCCACTCGTTCTTGAGGAGGGGGTGTTGTCAGGAATCCCCCAATTCTTGCTACATTCCTGACTCTCGCCGGATTCCTGACCTACAGACCACATTCCTGATGATGATGTGGCACCTCCTCAACCTCAGTTATATTTAGGCCGTCCTCGATCCAAGAGTGGTTGAGCTTCATCAACCTATAGTATATATAGGTTAGCCTTGTTCCATTTCTCCACAATCTGAATCAACACCAGTCTAGGGTTTCTTGTTTCTTTCCACTAGCTTTTCTCTTTGTCTTTTGCATTTTCCAGTCTTGATCTTGTTGAGGATCGTGACAACAAACTTCTAAAAGCAGGAAGCCCTCAAACAACTTCATCAACATTGGCAATGGTGGTGTGAACCTTGGAAAGTAAATTACTCTTAGAATTGCACAACAAAAACTATATCAACAAAACACTAACCACTTTGGCACCTTCTTGTTCTATTCTCTCTAAGCGTTTCTAACAAATGGGTTAAATGTGCTCACTCCCATCAAGTTGTATATCTATAAAGTATTGCAAAATAGTTTTGGACAGAAGAATCAAGTTTCTAAGAACTCAAGAGTTTACCTCTCCAATCATGGTTTTTCTTCAACACTGTATGTCAAAAACACTCCACAAGTGGTTTTGTCCTCTTACTCTGCAACTTGTTTGGAAAATTACTTTTTTTTCCTTCTGAAAAGAGAAGTATGATCAAGCTTTGAAATTTAAAGGCTTGAAAGGTTGTCCTTGGTGCATAAGAGCCCATTCAGTGATATATGCAATCCTTTAATCTAGTGTAACTTCTTTTTGATAATGTTCTTCCCTTCCTTGCAAGTTATTTTACTTTGAACATTTTTGATATTTTCAAAGTACTAGAATAAACAAGTAGTCAATTATCTAGAATACATTGATATCTTGGTGCTCTAAAAATAATATCTCATATCTGACTCAATGAGTAATTTGACTGAAACCTCACATCAGACTCCTATTCTTTACCTTACATCACACACACAAATTTAGGGACTCCACAAGTTAATGATAATTACTTGAAAAAATCAAATAGAGAGAAGAATAGTAAAGTATAGAATGTTGGGTAGTTGAGGTTAGATGTTGGATGCCCGACTCTACACTTTCTATGTAATGCATGTGATTATGGGATGAGATTTTGATATACTTGTCATTATGGATCCTTGGAACCTTTGGGGATAAATAGGGATAAAATAAGTACTAAGGGCTTTCTCATTAAGTAATTGTTTTTTTTTTAGTTGAATTAAGGAAGATGCAGTATTTGTGGTATTAAAGCAAATGGCACGGGTTTAATTTCTATTAATTAGTGGGTACTTAAAACATAATATACCCTTAAGTAAAGTATATTCCCTTATATAATATAATATATGTATAGAGTACATAATATACCTTGGGCTTATGGACAAAGGTATCCACTCTCCCGCACTCTATCTCTCTCTATTTCCGAAATGAATTTACTAATCCTTCTATTGTGTAAATTGGAATAAATTTACCAATCCTTCCATTATGTGAATCAACTATTCTATGTAAGGCAATTAGTTATTCACCCGTACTATAGCCCCATCAATCTTTCTAAGCTAGAACTTTAGCAAAGTGTAGATTCAATGCAAAAATGCTCAAAACAATTGGTAGATTCAATACAGAAATAGAGAAAGATAGAGTGTGAGAGATAGAATGTGGAAATGGAGAGAGATAAAATGTGTTACACTCTGCTAAAGTTTTAGCTCAGACAAACTTGAGCTCAAACTCAGGCTTACTTGACTCTTGCTCATACTCAAGCTCAAACTTTTTATGGACAAAAGGCCAAAAGTTGTCATTTTAGAAAGAGGCTTGAGCTTGAACTTAGGCTCAAATAAGCACTTGAACTCGGGCTCACTTGGCTCTTGCTCATACTCAATCTCAAGCTTTTTATGGGACAAAAGGCCAAAAGTTGTTATTCTAGAAAGGGGAGGGACTTTCTTACCTGTAAGATGATAGGGGGGGTTTTGGTTGAGGTTGAACTATGGCTGCCCATCTATATAAACAAGAGTTGGCTCCCATTGCATGCCTCACTTTGTGGGCTTTCCTATGCCACTGGCCAAAGGAAATGGTACTCACCCACTTTGGTGGCAAGCACATTCACCATCTGTCCAGGTGTTATTCGATCGGTGACCTAGATGCAAGGAATGTTTAGGCAATGTCACATGTATGAGTGCTTGTGGCCTTTGGTTGGTGGCACAAGGGGGGCCTCCTTAGTATTGATGGTGGGGGTGGGTTGGGTTGTGCAAGGGTTTTTTGGCTTCCCTAGCACTTGCTCTAGTGTTTAGTCAGGTCATGCTGTTCAGTCCATGGACAAAGACCATATCCACATGCTTATTGAGCAAGGGGAGCCTCCAAGCTTCTAAGGGAGATAGGCCTAGGGGGCAGTGCGGCTGCTTAGCAAGGGTCAGCTGCTTGGCAAGGATCACCATCATACAGCGAGAAAGAGGAGGCGCCTGCCATGTGACGGAGGAAGGGAGGACTCTCCCAGGCCCAAAGCACACAGAGGGGAATTATGAAAAATAACCAATGCTACAACAAATTATCAATATGTTTATCCACTTGCTCTGTTTATTGAAATGCTTCCATGCTTGTCTCCCATGAATTTGTCTAGCTCCACTACAAAAGCCAGTGCACGGTGCTCTCATCCACTGCCTCGCCCAGCTTGCCTTCCTCGAGCAAACTCCACCACTTGTACAAGAAGTTGTCCACGATGAGGCGAAACCAGGGAGAGAGCTTGATGCCGCCCTCTCCCGCGTCCGCCTGCCTCACCAGCTCCTTGAGCTCCGCCTGGTTCACGTACCTCACCGCCGCGACTTCGTCCGGGTTTGGATTCACTGCTACCTCATCTCGCTTCAAGAACAGCAAGTAGTCCACTGCGAGAAACCAAGGATTTAAGCCTGGAAATCCTGGAGAAATCACGAGCAAGTTTGTAACTTACGTTCGTGCTCCCCCCACTTTCCGTCTGATGGAGCCTTGTAGAGGATCCGGCCCAGAAAAGTGAAGGCGTCCACCGGGGAGTCGGCTGCTGCGATACCGAGCTCATCAAAAAGCTTCCTTTGCGCAGCGTTTCTTACTCCTGTGGGTGTGTGTGTGTGTGTGTGTGAGTGAGGAAGCACTAGCTAAGAAAACAAGCTTGTTTACCCATTTGGTTCTCGAAAATCATCTCCGACTCTCGATAGAGAGGGTGGCTACAACATGTGTTCGTCCACACCAGAGGGAACGTCACCTTGGTCGACGAGCGTTGCTGGGCATCAAATCCAACAACAATCGTATGAGAGAAATGAAAAGAAAAGAAAGACTCGATCGATCACCTGGAGCAGCAGCTCGTTTTTGGAGTTGAACAAAAACACACTGAATGCACGATGCAACATTTTCCCGGTCTCGATCTTCTCCATCAAATGACCTTCACGAAGAAGAAGAAGAAAAAAACACGACTTCCGGTTTTTTTTTTCTGGCTATTCTCTTACAGTTATACTTGGAGTCATGGCCGACGACATTGTCCTTCTCGTCCACCAGGATACACCTTAGACACAACACAAGAGCGAGCGTCAGATCCTTGCCTCAAAACCAAGAGCAAAAGAATCACTCCGATAGATTTGCGAACTTTGAAACACGAGCAAGATAAAGAAGAGAGTCAAAGCTTACTCATCCTCAAACATGAGACGCTTCTGGACGGGATCCAGCGCCTCGACGAGCTGGGACGACGCCTGCATTGCGATTGCTCGCCTGGATCGGATGGGAGCAGCGCACCTCTTGATCGCCCACGCCCGAGATCCAAGCAAAGAAGAAGGCGCAGGCAAACGGCACACAAGGGGCATTCCAAAAAAAACTCGAATTTAGGGTCTCCATCCATCCAAGTATCAAATCTTAAAAACCAACAATTCATCAGTTCTTTTCCTCGTTCTCAGATGGTACAAGCGAGATTTTTTTTTCCCGAGCTTCATCTCGATCGAGGGAGATGGAAGAGGGGAAAAAAAGATCCAAGGAACAAAAAAGAATTTTTAGATCGCCCCTCTCAGCCTCTCTACGTAGCTAATTGTTTCTTGTCAAGATAAAAATGCGATTGCCGAGGATCAATGAACCTCGTCCGCCTTGCCGTAGTATCTGTTGATGAAAGGACTCTGCGGCAGCGAGGGATCATACATCAGCACCGGGAAATCATAATGTTTGATTTTTTTTCTTTGATCTACCTTGAGGTTCTCAACATCAGGAGTGTCGTCGGTTTTCACGGGGTAGAACTTGTATAGTTTCATGTTCTCCAGAGCTGCCTTTTTCTCCTCGCTCATCTCTTCGATGGCTTTCTTCCGAGCCAATCGAGCCTGGAACAAGAGCGCAAAGCTAGTGAGAAATCCTCGACGAGAATGCCACAGCACACACCTCTTTCTGTCTCTTCTTCTCGGCCTTGACGTTTTCCATTATGCATTCCTGTACGACAAGTAAAATCCATTTCCATCCTTGTCTTGCATAAACGGCTAGCTAGTTTTCATACCTGGAACTTTTCCCTCTCATCTTTTGGCAGTGCTTCTTCGTCGATAAGGTTTGTTGTGAACTCCTGACAAGAGAACTCGGTGGATATTTATTAGGGGACTGAAGATTGATTACCTCGAGTTCGTCAAAAGCCCAGTCGTATTGCGTGACAATCTGGACAAGGAAAGAAGCATCAAAACCAGTTGCAAATAACCACAAAACCATACCGGTGGTTTTCCTTCATCCATAGTGAACATAATAGAGACAACAGTATCGTCTTCCTTTTCTTCCTCCCTCCATGGTCGGTATAAATCTATAAGTGGAGTAGCGTGAGAAACTTGGACGATATAAAATCCTCGCACTTACATGGCAGACAGTACTCGTACTTCTTGATGCGCTCCTTTTTCAAATGCCTCAGAGCTACTCTGAAAGCCAGACCGAGCGTCAGCAAAACACATCCGTTATCCAGTGCATGCATACCTTCTTTGAGTGCACTTCAGGGTAAAAATCTCGCACTTGTATCGCTCCAAAGAACTATGCCTGCGCGAGAAGGAAAAGTCAGTAACAAGCGCGTCAAACTCGATTCACGCCATACGTCAAAACGTCTTCCGGTATGTAAGGCATCCAGTCCATCTTCATTTCTCTCATAGGGACGATCATTTCACCTTCCATCTGAACTGATTTTATCCCGACTTTGTCCGAGGGAGGGAACGGCGACGTCACCTGTGAATGGAGCACATCCGATAGTTGTAGTGCAACGAAAAAGAGAGAGAGAGAATACGTACCGCAACGACGGCTGGAATGTGAATCACCTTATGGTTATCCCGGAATTGTACGAGTTGAGCTACGCACGAGAGAAAAAAACTCAGGAAACAATACGACGAAACAAAGCTAGCTTACGTTCGGTACAGCCAAACATATACACTCGCTTCCCATAGAGCTGTCCTCCTTCCTCAAATGCTCGCTGCAGTGCTCCACAGTAAGAACCATCCACCAGAAAAGGAGGAGAATCGCATACCTCGAGATTTGAGAAATCCCAGTTCACTTCGTAAAGTTTATCATACTGGTCCCACTGCGCAAAACCATTTTCATCGAATCAGCCACACAGTAAGAGGCGAGGACGAGAGAAATCCAAGGAAAAAAAACCGACCTCTGTTCCAACAGGGAACGCCTCCTTCCATATGTTCTCCTAAAAAAACACAGCAAAACCCACAAAAACCCTGTTAGACCTAAATCCCGGCAAGGAGATCGCACTCCAGCTCCAGCGATCGATTTGCAGAGAGCGCAATGCGATCTAGAGAGCCGCCGCGCGGCCACGGGGATTCGGATCGATCACATACCATGCTGGGCCGCTCGAGAAGATCGCTGCTCCCGGCGCCTAGGTCTTCTTCCTCATCGGATATATCAGCGTCGCCTCTAGATCGCTTCTTTGACATGCATACATATACCAATCCTAGCCCGCCTTGTAAATCGCCCCACACGAAGGGGGAAAATAATCGCGACCGTTGAAGCCTGCAGTGTAGGGGGCTACATCCACGGAGCCAACGCTTCCCACGTGTCACCAAGTATATTCCGCTTGCGCCACGGCGGGGATCTGAAAATATTCCGTCCCCCCCAGCTCGATAAGGCCAAGAATATCCTTCCCTACGATCGTACGTGTGTTTTGTTCTTCCTTGACAGTGTGTTCTTTCTTCTCCCATTTCTTCCGCCCGGGCGCCCTAGGACGCTCGTCTTTGGTCGATCGAGAGGGGATCGCGGGAGATCGGCGCGCATCCATACATGCGATGCGCTTTGCTGCCCGGCTCCAAGGATCAGGGTTTGGATTGTCGGTAATATAGCCCTATCTCCAGCCGGATTCCAATCGATCGATCGAGCTGGGCCGGGGCGGCGGCGGCGGTAGGGGAATGGGCGAGAGCCAGGCGAGCCTCCTCTTGCGCAAGCAGTTGAAAGGTGAGGGCATTTTCGTGAATTTGCTTCGCGGTGGCCGGTGGACTGATTGATCTTGGCGTGGCAGATTTGACAAGAAATCCTCTGGATGGCTTCTCGGCGGGATTGGTGGACGACTCCAATGTGTTTGAGTGGGCCGTGACCATCATCGGCCCCCCGGACACCTTGTAGTAAGTGAAAGCTTCCTCTCCTCGTGTCTTCATCTTTGCGTGGTTTCTTCCTTGTTCTTGGCTTCTTTCGCTCGTAGGGCACGGGTAATTGTGATTGAATCCTCATGTGTGATTGATTGCAGGCCTTTGCAAATCGACCGAGCGCTCTCGCTGTGGGAGATTTTTTTATAAAACCATGAATCAACTTTATCCCTGGCATGAGATTTGTCTCGTCTTCTCTTTTGTCTTGTGGCTTTCTTTCATTCATTTCTCCCAGCCTAATGTCTGATCGTCCTGGTGGTTTGTCAGTGCAATTGGATCTAACGCTCTCCCTCGTGGTGTTTTTTTTCCCTGTTCTTTGTTCTTGCTCTTGTCCAGCGAAGGCGGCTATTTCAATGCGATCATGAGCTTTCCCGGGAATTATCCAAACAGTCCTCCCAGTGTGAGATTCACTTCCGATATGTGGCATCCAAATGGTAACCAAGCTCTACCGATGGAACTCTTCTCTAGCTGACTTTGTGAATCTCGCGAGCAGTCTATCCGGACGGCCGTGTTTGCATCTCCATCCTTCACGCTCCTGGAGACGATCCCAATGGCTACGAGCTGGCGAGCGAACGATGGTCTCCGGTTCACACGGTATGCGTGCTTGATCTCGAGCTCTCAAACTTCTTACTCGTCGTGTGTGCTTCTCAGGTAGAAACCATTCTATTGAGTATAATCTCGATGCTTTCGAGCCCCAACGATGAATCGCCAGCCAACATCGATGCCGCGGTAAGTGCACGGTGGATCAATCATCTAACGAATGATGTGATTATTTTTTCTCGGTGGCAGAAAGAGTGGCGAGAGCGAAGAGAAGAATTCAAGAGAAAAGTAAGCCGCATTGTAAGACGCTCGCAGGAAATGCTTTGACAACGATGATCGGGCATCCAAAACATTATTTGACTACGGTGGCGCGGCGAACTGGGGAGAAATGGGAGATTTGTGGTAGCGAGTATATCAACACATTCTAATTAGTCTATAGAGCGTCGGATAAAAAGGAGAGCTTTGAGAATTTGCAAGAACCATCAAGAACCCTAAAAATTTGTATTTGAAAAATCTGGAAATTGGTCTTCGTCTTCCCTGGAGCCCTAGAAAACAGAGCTACTGGTTTTGCGCGTAAATTTCTTGGTGGGCATCCATTCTCCTTGGACTAGCGCTTAGCTGTGTCCTCACAGATTCCCAGAATTGATGACATCGCGCAGCCTTACGACACCCAGAGGCCAGGAATGCACACGCACAGACTCTCCTTTTCTCTCTATCATTTGGGGACGACCCAAGGATGGATTGATTGTGCTCGTCAATGCAAGTGAGCCACCACCACTCCATCCGCTTCCCCTTTTCGCCTGTGCGATCTCGGGCCGTGTGAGCTAGATTGCCATATCTGTCTATAGTCGATCGATCGTTCACATCCCATCCCATACCAGCCTTTAAATCGCCGCTCGCTGGATCCAGGGTAGCAGCGCGGTCCAGTCCAGCGATTTATATGGCGCGGTAAAAATCGAGAACTGGGGATTGACTTGCAAAGGGAGGGCAGTCAGGCGGCTTCCCACGCCCGGCGCAGGGTCTCTCTCAATGATCCAATGGACTGATTGATCGCCCGCTCGCTTTTGTTTGAATCGAATTGAATGCCTCGGCGCTAATGTTTTCTATCAATCTTCTTCTAATGCGAGACACCGACCAGAGCAGACCATGGAGTCCTTTGTTTTTTGGGACGAAAACTAAGATCAAACCACAGACCAGAAAACTCTGCGAAATTCGATGAATGAGAGATCGGGCGAGACACGCCCCATTGGCAATGTCTCTCCCACGAACGCGCCCGGCACGGATCGACAGCTCGATTAGAGCTGCTTGCTCGCGAGATCGGGACATCCAATTCATGGAAAAGTCGAGAAATTCGGAGAAATTCCGGCAGGCCGGCTCGACAGCTCGATTTCTTTTCTTGTCTGCGAGAGCATCTCCCTCAATTCGTGGAGGAAACTCGAGAAACCGGGTCGTAATCGAAGGATAGCGTTTGATAAAATCGATTGTTTCCCATTGTTTCCCATCACCATGGCTGGAAGATCATAGAAAACTATGGGCGCATTTTAATTAACATCGATCTGTTTGACCCGAGTCCGGCAACTCCAGCCGCGGGATCGCGACCGTTCGTTTTAATAAGCATTACAAACGAATGGAAAGTGACCACGTGTCAGAGATGGGCTGCCCATTCCGGCAATGATTGACAACAGACACGTGTCCGTCTGGAACCACTGTCACCAGCTTTCTTGTGTAGACCTGGAAAGTTACCGCGGTTATTGACAGCTGGTAAGAAATTCCCATTTGTTCTTTACCGCACCATGGAAGCTATATAAACAGGGGGCTCCATTCCATGGTCGCCACAAAGCAAACCCACATTCCAGAGCCTTTCTAGATTCCAATTCTAGATTCTCTCTTCTTCTTCCTCGCTCTTACTTTCTAGGTAATGGAGGGGACGCGCGACAACGAGAAAATCATCGCCTCCTTCTACAATGCGCTCGCGGTGGGCGATGCCGCGGCGGTCGGCGCGATGATCACCGAGGATCTGGAGTGGCAATTCCACGGCCCGCCCGCCCACCAGCATCTCATGCGAATGCTCACTGGCGCGGATCGCCCGGGCTCCTTCTCCTTCAATCCCACCCGGATTTGTATGATCGGGGACCGGATCTTCGCCGAGGGCAAATCCCAGGCGCCCATGCGAGAAATGGCCTCTCCGCCTCGCTCTAGCTCCGCGAGCAATGCTTCCTCGAGTTCTTCCTCCTCTTCGTCGAGTTCTTCGTGGAGGTCTTCCTCCGCGGCGCCGTCGGCGCTGGATCAAGAGATCTGCTGGGTCCACATATGGACAATCGACCCGAGCAGCTCGCGGATCGTGGAGCTCAACGAGTGCTTCAACACGTCGGTGACCGTCACCGCCCCATCCAGTTGCAACACATTGTGGCAGAGCCAAGGAACGAGGCGATCAATGCCCGGCCTCGTCTTGGCAATGTGATCATCATCGACCATGATCCAATCGATATGAATCAATATCGATCTAATCCACCACCAGCATTCTTTCATGCGCCAAGAATTTTGGGAGAAGCCCATGATTCCTCCTTCACCACTCCATCAACGCTCTTTTTGATCGCAATGCTCCACTACGTAGGCAGTGTTTCCATCGATTTGGGGGTTTTTTTCTTCGCTCTTTCCCTTTCTCTCGTGTAATTTGTTCTACTCCTCCCCAATCCACCAAGAGAATCGAAGGATTCGGAAACGGGAGGCTTACATTCTCTTGTCCTGGAAAGAAAGATCCAAATGAAAGAATATATCTGGCACCACCGTGCAAAGGTTCCTCTCGTATTTACGAGAGAGTCTTCGAGGTTCCCGGCTCGATTCCCGGCTCTCTCCGTTGACTGGTCAGTGGTGGCGGCACTGCGTGGTCAACCAGGGCACTAGCTTAATCGTAATGGTTGGATTTGTTTGACACCCCTCGGGCGTTCGATTCCTGCGCGGCAAACATGTGACGTGGGACAATCGTGCCCGTTGGCCGGGCATCGTTAGCGCCGTCGATTTCTGTAAAGCACTATAAAGTCGTGCGCGTGACGACGCAGCGATTTCGTGGAGAGCTCCCAGGAAGCTCTTGTTTCCCGCCGGCTCTTCCTTTTCTTTCACTCCATTCGTCGGTCGATCGATCCGGCTCGAAATTTTGCGCGGCTTGGTTCCAAGCGGCAAGATCCATCGATCCATCGCATCGCGCTAGCTACCGGTTCGTCGATTACCCTTCCGATCGATCCGCGCGGCGTTCTTGTTTCTTTCCCCTAATCCGTGGTCGCGCATTTGCATGTCTCAGAGCAGCGCCTCTCCGATTGAGAGAAATTTGGGGAAAGATCTGGCTAGCGAGCAGGAGGGCTACGCGGTGCTGCGAAATCTCTACCGGGCGGTGTCGCAGGGTGATGTAGAGATCGTCAAGGCCCTGGTGGCCGCGGACATCGAGTGGTGGTTCCACGGGCCAAGGGCGGAGCAGCATCTCATGCGCATGCTCACTGGCGCGGATCGGCTGGGATCGATCGCGTTTAGCCCCAGCAGGGTTTGCCTCGTCCAGGACAAGTTCTTGGCCGAGGGATTCTTGGACGCCTCCAAGTCGTGCTGGGTTCACGTCTTCACCATCAAGTCGGGCAAGGTCGTGGAGCTGCGCGAGTACTTCAACACCTCGGTCACGGTCACGGGCGCCGGATTCTTCACCAGGGATGACCCACTGTGGGAAAGCGAGCTCACGTTGACATCCATGCCCGGATTGATCGTCGCGGTGTGAGAGATTGATCGACAATCCAGTTTCGGATTGGTAGTCGTTGCATCCATTTCGTCTCTGTTCTTCCATCTTTCTCGTCCTCTGTCGCCCTCTCGCTCGATTTCTCCCTCGTTTCATGCCAGGTTCTAGAGCACTGTGCTAGCGGGTTTCTTAGATCTTGGTGGCTTGTTTTTTCTTCATTCTCGTGTGGATTTTGGTGCATTTTATATCGATCAGTGCGCAGCTGACAATGACCAAGCTTGGATTGAGCGACGCCATTTCGTGCTCCTGTGACTTGATCGTTATCATCGCTCTTGTGTTGTTTCTATCTTCTTCCTCAGTGGGGTGGAAGAGAATAAATAAAAGTTTGTGTGCTTTCCTATTTCATTTCTGTCTGCCATTGGCTATTGGTATTCCCAGGTTTTAGGGTTTAGGGCGCCATGAGAGGGCGAAGCCCGAGGCGATTGGCGCTATGGCGCAGTCTTGGATTTCTCGTCGTGCTCCTGCCGCTACTGCGCCCCGATCTACTGCTCCGGCACTCGTCTCCATCGTGGATGTCGCTCTTCTCGGTGAGTTTCATAGATTTTCCCATCGCTTTTTGGCCACATTGATACTGGATAGTGGCCACAGGATCCATGGGCTACAATAATTTCCCTATTAGTGCGTAGTCGATGGGATTTCCGTGATGCTTTCCCTTTGATTTCTTTTTTCTCTTGCTTGTTTGCGGAACTTTCTGTGTGACTCTTGTGCTTTTCTCTTTTTTTTTATAGGAATGGGAGGCTCCCTCGGCCCAGCATTCTGTGCTCATGGCCTCTTTGGCGGAATCAAACATGGTACAACTTCTCATCCTTTTTTTATTTTTCTCGATCCTCGTGTATTTTGTTCTGTATGCTCCTCGTGTATTTTTATTTTATTTTTTCCCATTCGTCGTACAGAATAGTTCAAGGTCTGGCGAGTCGGCGCTTTTGTGGCATCCGCCGGACAATGACGGTTGGGCCCCTTGCCTTCGACAGAGTGTGGGAAGCATTTCTTCTTGTAAGAACTTTTACTTGGTCTGGCCAGTCCTCTTGACTTTGTGGTGTTCTTTCAGCGAATTTCTATCTACAAGTTTTTCTGGAGGGCGGCTTGAACCAACAAAGAATGGGTGTGCGTCTCTACTTCACCGTATCTTTCTTAGCTTTGGATTGTGGACTAAAGAGGCTGTGGCGTCTTTTTCAGGTGTGTGATGCGGTTGCTGTAGCGAAGATTTTGAACGCCACGCTTGTCGTACCCCACCTCGACGTGAATCCCGTCTGGCAGGATAGCAGGTACGCGTGTGCGATTTTATCTACACGAGTGTTCGTGCGCTAGGCTTATGTTTCGTGTAGCTCTTTTGCAGACATATATGATGTGGATTACTTTATCGATTATCTGGCCGCTGATGTTAAGATTGTGAAGGGCCTACCGAGTGAATTTTATTGGAGCACACGGGAGTATTACGCCACGGGCTTTCGAGCAACGAGAGTCAAGGATGCGCCAGTCCATGCTCGGCCCAGCTGGTACGTGGCAAATGTTTTGCCCATCTTGCAGAGGTACTGTCAACGCTTTCTTGCTTGTTAATTGCGGTGCTGAGCTGATGGAGTTGTGTAGTTATGGAGTTGCAGCTATAGCACCCTTTTCTCATCGCCTGGCTTTTGATGAGGTTCCTCCGGAGATACAGAAGCTTCGCTGCAAAGTGAATTTTCATGCTTTGCGGTTCGTGAAAGCAATCACTTCCGTTGGTGATGTGATTGTGAGCCGTCTTCGACAAGCGCAAAATGATAGTCCGCCATCCAAGTTCGTTGCCCTCCATTTACGATTTGACAAGGTATGACAGCGATTAGTTTCATCTTCTCGCCGAGTTGTAATGTATTGGACCTTTGTTTTCTGGTGATGACTATGATAGGACATGGCAGCGCACTCGGCATGTGATTTTGGTGGCGGAAGAGTAGAGCAGTTAGCTTTGGCCTACTACCGGCACAAGGTCTGGCAAGGGAGAGTTCCAAATTCTCGACTTACAGTACAGCAGTTGCGGCTTCTTGGGAAATGCCCGCTGACTCCTGAAGAAGCGGGCCTTACTTTGGCTGCACTTGGATTTGGCCCACACACTCGTGTCTATCTAGCATCGCACCAGGTAAAATGAATCGACGATGTGAGTGTGCCCCTCAATTACGCCTTGCAGATTTATGGTGGCGAGGCAAGGTTGTCCTTCTTGAAGAACATATTTCCGCTGATGCAAGACAAGGCCAGCCTCGCTATAGACGCTGAGTTAAGACCTTTCGAGCGGAAGGCTTCGCTCTCGGCTGCTCTCGACTACTATGTATGCTTGAAGAGTGATTTTTTCCTGTCTGCTTCGCCGGGCAACATGCACAACGCGGTGGTAAGCCCTCGTTTTTGTTGTGTCTAAGATGCATTCTACCGGTCTAAGTCAAGTTGTTTCAGATAGGACACAGGACCTATCAAAACGTGCAAAAGACTTTGAGACCTGATATGGTGCTCCTCTCGCGTTTGTTCTCGAACTCTAGCATGGAGTGGCCGGAGTTCCAAAACCGAGTCTACAATGGACACCGCAACAGACTTGGACAGGTCCGGCTGCGGCAGCCAAAGCAATCAATCTACACTTATCCGGCTCCAGATTGCATGTGTAAGAGCAACATCAGGCACAGAATCAGATAACGATGAGGTTGAGGTAAGCGTTTCATGAAGAGGTGCTATTTTCTCTCTGACGAAGTTTCGCATCCAGCGTGTCTATCTCTCGTTTGAACTTTGACCATCGTCAGCCGTGAGGATCCTTCCTTCCAGAGGATATCGTCCACGGGTTTTTTTCAATTTGTCTATAAATGAAGGGGGGAGGTATCGTCGTGTTTCTAATGTGTCATGCTCGCAGTGATGACACTCAAAGTCGCCGGTGGCTCTGCTCGAGAAGACTTGTTCATAGCGGTGAAAGAGTTTCCAAGTTAGGACACGCCACAGGCGGCGTAGCATCAACGAGGAGGAGAAAAAAAAGCAGAAGAGGGGACTGTAACGCTCTTGATGGCGTTCTCGTGACATCGACACAGATTTGCAGAATTTACCTGTGTCAGGCGGGGACAAGTGCTAGCGACAGAGAGATGAAGGAAGGAGACAATGTAGACGTGAGCAACGAGACAATGGAGCAAGGCTGTGGTGATTTTATGGTGGGCATTGGCATTCCAACTTTTTATGATTCTTACACTTTCTCTTCTTTTTTTTGTTCGCTAGAGATTGATCGATCCGGGGAAGAGCGAGCATTATTATAAGGGAAGGAAACAGCGACGCCATCGCTCTTCCGTGAGATTCCCTTCTTGTGCTCCTTCTCGAGCGCTTTGTTGTTGGTTTGCTCGTGGCTCCACACTGGCGAAGTTTTGCATGGAGACGAAGAGTGGGAGTGGACGGCCCGGATGAGTGGGCGCCAGTGGAAACCAGTGGCTAGATTCTTCCCGGGGTGGCAAACGACAAGGGAAAGGAACCAAGGGAGAAAACACTGGAATATACCCAGGCTTTTTAAAGTGAAATGTGGCTCAAGGGAGCACGCTTTCTATCTTGGAGATGGTTTGGTTGGAGTTTTTTGGAAAATGATCATTGGGGTATAGAGTCTTTTCTTCGATTAAAATAGAGAATTTGTCTAAGTGTGTGTCCGCGTCTGGTTTGCGAGTTCCAGAGCATGCAACTTGTAGTCTATGAAAGAAGCTTTCTTTTTCTTTTCTCTCTAGTGTGCTTTGCTTGCGTGTTGATACTAGCGTCTTGAACGAGCGCGAGCGGGGAGCTATGCAGATCGAGCGCAGCGAAAATCTGAGTAAGTTGTGATAGGAATCTCCACCTCTCACGCTGGAAGAACTTGTGAAGCAGAGGTTGCAAAACCAAAGGATTTCTTCGTCAAATTTAAAGACGAGGAAGGAGGAGGAGGAGCAAGCGGTGGAGACTTCAAGCCACTGGCGAGTCCCACGACTCCATTCCAGTTCGAAGCAAGGCAGGATCATCTCGATCGTCTGCAACACCAGCGGCAGCAGCAGCAGCAGCGGCAGCGGCACTTCTTCGAGGATCCAACCCTGTTCGATGAGGATGCAGCGAGGAGGATCCAAAACACTCTCCAATTGCAACTCCTGAGCTACGTACGCCTCCATGGTAAGAAGAAAGATCACTTAGTCGAGAGTTTGGACTCATCGATCCACAAACTTTCAGGTGTCCAGCAGCAGCAAAACAGCCGCTACTCGCAGCAAGGAGCTCCAATTCCGGAATACTTCCAGGAGCAGCGCCACGAACACCATCCCACCATCGCTTTGCTCCAGCAAAGGTTCCAACGTCTCGAGAGGGACAAGGAGATGAGACAGACCAAGCAGTTATACAACTCCAACCATGAAGTGATCATCCAGCCTCGGCCAAGTTTCACATCCCCGTGTTCTACCTTTCCTCCTCCTCCATCTTCATCTTCTTCCATGTCAACCTCTTGCAATCCTCATCACAATCTCATGAGAAACACCACCACCTCTAGTTCCATGGTCTTTCCTGTTCATCCCGACACTCCAGCTCCGTTTTTCGGCACCATCAATCCAGAGAAGGATCCTGTCGATCATCCTCATGGTGCCAAGAGCAGCAAAACGGTTCTCTTGTCACTGCTTGATAATCCGGCACAGGACGAGTTCTCGGATCAATCCGAGCTCCCAGCTTCAAATTCGTCGGCCTCGCTGCTGCCTCGTGATCTTGTACAGCAGCCGTACCGGCCAGGCCTCCTCAAGAATTGGAAAACTGCAAAGAGAAGCATACCGATTGATGACGACGAGGAGGTGGACACGTCCTTGCATCTTTGATAACCAGCTTTGAAAAAACTTGTAAAAATATATGTAAAGAAGAAGAAAAGAAAAAAGGAAGAAGATCAAGTATGCACGTAAGAGTAAAGTCAGCCAGTTTGGTTCTCATAGCCGAGGATTCTCTATAAATAAAGTGGAGGACGAATGCTTAGATTGCTTCTGCTTTTTATTGTGCTTCTAAAGATTATGCCCCACTATCACCCACATTCTTCTTTTCCCTTTTTGCTGCATAATTCTAGTGCTAGGGGAATGTATGAAACATTTCTGTTAATAGGAGAATGTTAATATGGCTTAATATAAAATCCTAAAAACTGAATAGACTCTCAGTAATTTTTAAGTAAAGCTTAAATTGTTAATCAGTTTCTCTCTTAAGTGAAAACTTAATAAAGAAAAAAATTAAATTGTTTAAACTATAAAAAAATCTAAAAATTGATAATGTAATCTGTTAAAACTATGAAAATAAAATAGAAAATATTTTTTTTCTTTATTAAAAATAATTTAATCAGCTCTTGCAAAAGGGGGGCCTTTTATAAAACTAACCACATGTGCATTTATGATGGTAATCTGTCTTCATGCATTTTTTAATTAAACATTTTTTTGTATTTTTTGATTAAAACTTATGAAATTTTCAATATACGATCTTTATCAAAAGTTCTCTATATTTAATTTTTATTTATTGTTAAAAAATTAAAATCCCAATCACTCAACTTTATAGGTAAAAGATTTTTTTTATCTTAGATGTTTTCTATGTATGAGTGTATGGAATATAGAAATAAAATATAAAAATATACATATTTAATTAGCTCAAAAACTCTAACTTATATAAGGTGTTCAAAACATATTCAATGGTTATCAAAATCCTAATGCTAATATTAATATATGGTATTATAGCCATACATTTAAACCTCCACTTCATAAAAGGCAATTAAAGTTCTCTAGGTGATGGGTTAGGATCTAAAAGAACATTGATAAAAAACACTAGTAAATCTATAAGTGGTGCAATTTATTTTAGATTCTTTTATATAAAGTGTTTCAGTCACTATATATGCATAATTTCTAGAAGATTAACTTATTGAAAATTATGCAAAACCTTATAAACTTCTAGTACAATTTGCCACAACACTTGATATAGTCTTTTCCACTAACCAAAAAACCCTTGAAATAAACCACATACTGTAAGATTGAAAAAATAAATTAATACTATATTATTTATTTTGTATTTTGTATGTGGATAATGATAGGAGTTATAACACTATTGTTATCCCACTTATATATCACCCAAGTGTTTAGTAGACTCTGTTTGAATTAATGGAAGAATGTTTATCAAATACTAATCCCAAGATCTAACATCAATAGCTTATGGCAATTATGAAAGTAACTTCAGCTCCATTAGCAACATTAAATTATAATCATAGAAGGGTTTATATAGTGAAGCACTTGGAACTCTATACCCCTATAATATATGCATAGCAAATAATCATCTTAATTAGAATATTGAAAGTTTATATATTTCATTATTATGGTTTTTACCCTTTATCCTATGGTGATTTACTATAGGATAACACCATGAAGCCGAACCTAAAACCTCTTTGTGTAATGTGATAGATGCCACATGTCACATGCCACGTGTCCAAAGGAACGTGGTGTGGAACCCGAAGTTCAAGGCCTTGGGCAACAAAAGAATGGTGCCAAACTCCCAAGTATGAAGCCAAGGAGTGATGAAACCGGACCATGGAGCAACTCCCAAGCATACAGCCTAAGGAGCAAAGGGACAAGAGTCCGGAGCGACTTAGAACAGTCATAGAGTAACTAACATCCCAATGCTAGGACTAGCACGCAAAATGGAGCTAAATGGAATTTAGCGCTATTTTAGCATACCGGTGGCCTAACACAAAGATATGGGTACTCCACCAGCTAGCATGGAATGGAACTTAGGCTTAAACCCAAGCTACATGTAGAACAAATACAAGCACACAAGCGGGAGCTAGACTATGCCTTAGGTTGGTCGGCTATACCTAACCTACCCACTATCCTTACTATAATTTGGAACCCCCCATAGCCCCCCCTCTTGAGGAACACACACTTTGGGCTTTCACCCCAAGCCTCCCTTAGTACCAGGAGTTAGTCTTTGGGACAAGCTCGAAACTTACTAAATATGGAATGGCATTAGATTGCGAATTTGGACATAGTATGAACAGCATTGTGTTCAAACCAATCTCTACATTTCGTAGATATGCCAAATGAGCAAATCTAGACACTTTCCATAAATAACATTTGGGACCGAAATAAGACTAACATAAAGGGCATGATAGCGAGGGTGTTTGGCAAACATGGTAAGCTATCATCTAGCGATATTGAGGGATTAGTCTCAATACGCAAGGGTTCTTATCAAGCCAGTGTAAGACAGAGCAAAAGAAAACTAAAAAACTAAGCCAAGTATACTTAGTTAAATAGACATTTAGGAATTCCGTCCTTATGTTCATCCAGCCAAGTATAGATGCAAAGTTCAGTTTACTAATACTTGAACAAGAAGGACTAATAAAGGGTTTAGCAATACCGACCTCTTGCTATCGTGGTAGTAAGGAAAGAGTGTTCGTAAGGACTAGCTGACAGGTAACTTTCGATACCCGAAGTCACATTTGCGACACTCTCCCCCCCTATGAAAGATCGACATCCTTGTCGATACATACTCGAGTCTAAAATACTACTAAGAAAACAATTCTAAAAAGTTCATGGTATTCACACTATGTGAGTTAAATGAGTTAGGAGGCAACCTCTTTGTCTAACGTAGATGAGCTACAAGCTCAGACACCTTCCGGCCGTCACTAACAAAAAAATGACCAATAGAGTCAGCCACCCTTGTTGCTCTAGGTGTCACCCAACTTACAAAAGTGTGATACACCTTTGCTTGCAGGAATATAAAGAGAGAAGCCAGAGGCCCCAACCCTCCTGAGCAAAGAAACCAAACCCATCATTAAGGTTTAGATAGACTACTGTAAACAGGCAGTTACAGTTGTTTACATGGTTACGCCCTTTTAATGGAATAAGGAACATTGACAGAGAGGCGGGTGATATAACCAATCAACAGTAGCTACCCCATGACTATAGATTTCACCATGCATATGAAATGCCGAAGCCAGTCTGCCTATACTGGCCCAAAATCCAAAGATCAATAAATGGACAATATCAAAGTCAAAAATAATGAAGTCATAATTATTAGTGAATAAATTTTATATTAGAACATAAAAGTATTCCAAGTAAGTTATTATCTGATAAACTAGTATTATAGTATATGAACCACCAAGATCATCATAATTGGTAAACATAGGAATCACTATTCAACAAAATTCAATAATAAATATATCATCAAAGACATTCAATGATGAAACTTAACTATCAAAGATTGTAGACAGTATGCCAAACAACTTATGGAAGAGAACTCAAAGAACACAAAGTATCATTGATTAGCAAGCAAAATGCTTGTGAATGAGTTATTCGAAAGAAATAACATCCCAATCTATTAGAACGAACTTGAGCAACAATCAATAGAACAGAATGAATGTGGTAAAACCAACAAATACTTCTTCATACCAACTATTGCATTAGCCAATTTGAATAAATCTTAATCAATAATATCAAGGAACCAGAGTTGTTTAAGCAAGTGCCAGTAACATCCTATCAATGTCTCAAACCCAAAAGACCAATCCAGAGCAAACCACAAAGAATATGTGGTATTGCGAAAAGCCATAAGCCATCAAAGAGAGCAACTAACTATCATGGAAGATCATCAATCATCTCATCAATAAAGAGATGCATAATCATTGTCAAAGAAATAATCTACTATCCCAAAGAACAGCAAATCATTCTATATCAACAACAATCAAGCAAAACTTTTGACAAGGATAATCAACTATCCTAGATGATAGTCAATTATCACCAATGATTGCCAAATGCAAATACTAACGTTATTGAAGATAATAAGCCAAAAATGTCTTTCCCAACAACTTCTAACAAATGGAACAATGAGCATGAAAACTCAAAGAACCAAAAGCTCGAAGAAGCCCATAGCTAAGTCTTGCCTAACAATGATTACGAGTCTTGCATGAACTAATTTCAATGCTAAAAAAAAAATCATGGTACAACCCACAATATCCTCCTTAACACATCTAGAAGCTAAACTTCATAATGCAAAAGTTAATGAAGAGCATATCTGCATCAATCCAAAAGTTAAGCACAATGAAGCTATGCTCAACAAGTGATCATTAAACGATCCTCCATAAATCCATCTATAACAAGACATAATTCACTTCATAACAAGCACAAGAAGAATCATCAATGGTCAATATATCCCAATTTAAATCCAATAAGGATTCAAACATTTCAATATCAATCACTAACTCTTCCGCTTGTAGAGTTAGCATAGTCTACGACTAAATAACTTTTCAAGGAAAAGCCTGAAACTCAACCTCGACTAAGCAATTGTCTAGAACATAACTAACTTAACTTGCCACTCAGTTTATTTGAACGTCAACATAGTTGCTAACTAGCAAATGCACGAATGTTAATAACACAAAGCTACAACCAAATCATAAACACTATCTCTATCGAGACCAATGAAACTCAATATCAATTTTTCGGAGAAATATCTCATTTCACTCAAATCTTAACATTAATTATGTCAACAACAAAGCATCACTTCAATGCCATCAACACTATAACAAAGCTAGAAGAAAGCACGAGTGAATCACCACTCAAAACTCTTTAGCAACTAAGCTAACCAAGGTTGAAGATACTTTACTCAATATCTGAGACCAATCCTTTAGCAAAACTCAGTTACAGATAACACTTCTTCAAGGAGTGAATCACCACGTCCAAAACTTAATGAAATCCAACACTATAAACTAAATGCAACCAAATGATATTGACAAAAGTAGAATTGACATGCCAACATGGAAAACCTATGTAAGTGTAATGACACAATCCTCTGCAACACCATTCGGTAAAGCAAGCCTATCATTAATAAATCTTCATCGAGTGAAGCAAGTATCAACAGTCCTTGACAAAATCTACAAGCAATCATTAGTTACAAAACAACCAACAATCATTCTTCAACTTGCCTTTACAAGACCCAACACTAAACTCATATCATC